TGCCCGGGGCTCTCCGCGATCCCCGCGGCCGCGATCCCCGGCGGGGCGCCGGGACCGAACCCCGACTCCGCGCTCCGCCCCGCGCTGGAATGCTTGCTTTGGGGGTGAACACGCGCGCGGGCTGGCCGGACTCCCGCCCGCCGGAGGGCTCCGTGCCCTTTGGGCCACAGGACCGCGCGGGTCTCCAGCCACGTCCCCGGGGGATGCGGGGGGGGCGCGGATCGGGGTCCCGGACCCCCGTCCGCCCCCTTATGGGGAACCCCTCCCCCGAGGAGCGGATCTCTCCTTTCACCCCCCCCCCTCGCCCCCTGCACTTCGGTTCAGGGACGACCGGAGGGCGCGCAGGAGACGGGCAGGGTCCGGGTGAACCCCAGGTGTCCTGGAATCCCCACGGGTCCTTTGAGTTCCCTCCTGCCGGCGGCGGCGCTGAGACTGGGCTCACCGCCTGGCACCTCCCTGCACCTCAGTTTCCCTCCCGGTGAAATGGAGATGGTGATGATTGCTGCTGAATGCATTGGCCGCCAGGATTGAAGGAGGTGTTGGGCAAGAGGGTTCGGCGATCGCTGCCCGCGGGGTTGACAGTTACTGTCATTTGAGGAGCAGCCTAGCTAGGAGAGGGGGGAGAGGGAGAGAGACAGAGACAGACAGACAGAGACAGACAGACAGACAGACACAGAGAAAACAGAGACAGAGAGAGAGAGAGAGACAGACACAGAGAGAAAACAGAGACACACAGAGAGAGAGAGAGAGAGAGAGAGAGAGAGACAGACAGACAGACAGACAAACAGACAGACACAGAGAGAAAACAGACACAGAGACACTGAGAGACAGAGAGAAGATGGGTCCTAGTTCAATCTCAGCCCCGGGCACTTTTGCATGTGACCTTGGGCAAGCTTAACCTCCAGATGCCTCGGTTGCGTTTTCTGAAATGGTGGCGCTTACCTGGGAGGGTTCAATGAGGTAAAGCACTGGGAAGACTGTAAAGCGTTTTAGAAGACCCAGTGCTGGGTGGGAGTTACTCATCCCACAGCAAAGCCACAAACCTGTTGGGTCTGAAGCACAGTGTTACTTGTGTGAAGCCTTCTTTCCCTTGTGGCTGGTTGATTGATCCTAAGGACGGGATTAAAGGACCCCAGGAACTGTCATCAAAGACTGAGAGTTCCAGATAGAAACTTCCAGAATCTCAGCTCCTGACCAATGGTCTCAATGGAGGAAGCCCCTGGGGATAGTGATTTTTATACAGGAAATAGAATCCAGACATAGGTTGTGATCACAAACACATAGGAATAGGCAATATTTAAAAGGATTTAAAACAAAATGAATTCTGTTCCTCTGGCCAAGAGATGATTTAAATGCCATAATTTTGAAGGTCAGAGATGAGAAAGATCATTTTTTAATAAAGTAATTTGGCACTTTCTGGACATCTCCTGTTATCATAAATCTGAGAGCACTCTCCCCTGCCCAGTGTTGCCCCAACTTCTAATTTCGGACCATAGTCTGAGTAATTCCACAAGTCTAGAATTTGCTTAAAGAATTTTGGCAAGCTGGGTGCTGGTGGCTCATCCCTGTCATCCTAGTTACTCAGGAGGCTGAGTTCTGAGGATCATGGTTTGAAGCCAACCAGAATAGAAGAGTCTGTGAGATTCTTACCTCCAGTTAGCTAGCAAAAAGCTGGAAGTAGAGCCGTGGCTCAAGTGGTAGAGTGCCAGACAAGAAAAAAAGCCCAAGTACAGTATCCAGGCCCTGAGTTCAAGTCCCCCCCAAAACTTGGGCACATCCAAGCCCTTGCTCACAGGCATGGATGTCCATGCTGTAGTCTGAACCAGAAGCAAGGCCAAGTTGACCTTTGCCACTGTGCAGGGGAAGGCATACAGGACAGAATTCGAATATGCCTTGGGATAAGATCACATCTGTAACTCAGAGGTTGCAAATCAATCTTTCCTCCCCCTTAAGCAATTTTTTATTGTCATTATAGGGATGATGTATAGAAGGATTACAGTTATATAACTCGGGTAAAGAGTCATTTTTTTTCTTTTTGAACAATGTCACCCAGTTTTCCCTCCCATCCCCACCCACAAGTTGTATAATTCATTTTTCACATAGTGCCCACCACTGCATTGAGCCTCCGTATCTGTGTTTTCCTCCTTTGTTTAATCCCTGGTACTGTTAATAATCTAGGTATGTTGAGGGAGCTCGCAGGACAAGAGCAGACCCCTCAAAGACATCGACCACATGCTTAATGCTACAAGGTTCCAATCCCAACAGAAGGCTCTAGCCCAAGTCTGGAGCTCATTCTCCTCCTGTGCAAAGGGGAGTTGATGATCATGTACCTCATGGAGGTGTGCAGCCTCGCCTGAAATACACACAGACTGTGGTATTGTTTATATAGAGAAAGTCAGGAGCCAGATGATCAGATATATGTTATATATACTACATATATGCTATACATATAGATGCATATACATATGTGTACATGTATATGTGTATATATATTATAAATGAGTCTTTATATACATGATATTGTAAGTTTGTTCATTTCTCTCTCTCTCTCTTTTTCTTTCTTTCGTTCTTTTCTTTCTTTCTTTTTTGGTCAGTCCTGGGGCTTGAACTCAGGGCCTGAGTGCTGTCCCTCAGCTCTTCAGCTCAAGGCTAGCACTCTACCACTTGAGCCACTTCTGGTTTTCTGGTGGTCAACTGAAGAAGAGTCTCAGGGACTTTCTTGCACTTTCTTGGAGGTAAGAGTTCATGGACTTTCCTACCCAGGCTGGCTTTGAACTGCAATGATCAGATCTCAGCCTCCAGTAGCTAGGATGACAGGCATGGGCCACCGGTACCCGGCAAGTTGTTGGGTCATTTTTGTTGTTGTTTCCTGGTCCTAGGCCTTGAACATGGGCTTGGGCTGTCCTTTTTGTTCAGAGCTAACACGCTACCACTTGTGCCGCAGCTCCACTTCCAGTTTTTGAGTGGTTAATTGAAGATAAGAGTCTGACAGGGTCTTCTCTGCCCATAGCTGGCTTCCAACTGTGATCCTCAGATCTCAGCTTCCTAAGTAACTAGCATTACAGGTATGAGACACTGGTATGTGACCAAGTTTGTTCATTTCTACAATGAATATTAGCTCCTACTGCAAAGGCTCCATAGTTGAGATGCACCCTAGAAATTGATGAATGCAGTCCACTAGTTTTCAATACTCTCCCTGAAAGCTGTTATTAAATCAGCATGCCTTTCCTTAAATTAATGGGTTTTGTTTTAACTTCGTTGGTGTCAGTCCCGGGGCTTGAACTCAAGGCTGTCATTCTCCTACTAAAGCCACAGCTCCACTTCTGGCTCTTTGCTGGTTTATTGGAGATAAGAGTCTAAGGGACTTTGCTGCTGGGCTGACTTTAAACCACAATCCTCAGATCTCAGCCTCCTGAATGGCTAGGATGACAAGCGTGAGCCACCAGAACTCGGCTCAATGAATGATATCTTAACATCAAGGAAATGGAACTCAGTGGCTGGGGAATATTCCAGAGTCAGTGTGCTTGATGAAGGTGGAGCTTGACTATGAAATGAAACCAAGCTCATTTCATTTGTAGGAAAGCAGCAAGGAAAAGGGCATGGGGCACGAAGCCCAAGAAATTAACCTGTTGCTGAGATGTGACAGATTCTGTCTGTTGAGGACACCTTGCTGAGGACCAGACTTGGCCAAGGGCTGTAATGAGCTAGAAGCTGGGCCCTCCAGGAGGGCAGGGGAAGGAGGAAGGGATTAAAAAGTACTAAGCATGGGTTACAGTACTCCTTCCTATTTTTGTTTTGTCAGTCATGGGGCTTGAACTCTGAGCCTGGGCGCTGTCCCTGAGCTCCTCAGCTCAAGGCTGGTGCTCTACCACTTGAGCCACAGCACCACTTCCAGTTTTCTGGTGGTTCATCGGAGATGAGAGTCTCACAGATTTTTCCTGCCCAGGCTGGGCTTTGAACCATGATCCTCAGATCTCAGTCCTCCTCAGTAGCTAGGATTACAGACATGAGCCACCAGTGTCTGGCCAGTGTCTGGCTAAAGTACTCTTTCCCGATAGAAGTGCTAGCTAGTTGTACCAAGGGCTCTTGACTTGGCCATCTGGGAAGAGGTCCTTCAGCCAGTCTAGCCAGTATTGACAAGTTCCACTTGCGCCAATGCTCCCACAGAGCCAGGCCTGGGGGCCTGAAGAGGAGGAGGCAGCTTCTCGGGCAGGCTTGTGGTGGCCAAAAGAATAAATATCCTGGAGAAGGGGCCAAGGCCTGAGAAAAAAGGGAGGTGACTTTGAAGGCTATATGGGCTGGTTTCCCAGGCCCTAGCCTCCGGGGACCTGCCAGCCAGACATAGGGAAGGAGTTCACCTGTTTTTCACCTCTGTCTCTGCAGTGCCCTGACCACGTCTACGTCCCATCCTTAACACCATGGCTCCTGGAGAGAAGATAAAAGCCAAAATCAAGAAGAATCTGCCCGTGAGAGGGCCCCAGGCCCCCACCATCAAAGACCTGATGCACTGGTACTGTATGAACACCAATACTCACGGCTGCCGCCGAATCGTGGTGTCCCGGGGCCGCTTGCGACGTGGATTGTGGATTGTGTTCACGCTCACAGCCGTGGCTCTCATCATCTGGCAGTGTGCCCTCCTCGTGTTCTCTTTCTACACCGTCTCTGTGTCCATCAAAGTCCACTTCCAGAAGCTGGACTTCCCCGCTGTGACCATCTGCAATATCAACCCTTACAAGTAAGAGGGAGTGTCAGGATTTGAGGCTGGGGGCAGGGGGTGAGGGGGGGGGGGGTGGGGGAGCAGGGGGAGGGCATAGCATGTTAAAGCTCAGGCCAGCTGGAAAACATATTGTCTAGAAATTGGAAGCCCTAGGGGCTGGGAAGGTGGCTTAGTGGCAGAATGCTGGCCTAGCATGCATGAAGCCCTGGTTGTAATGCCTCAGTACCACATACACAGAAAAAAACAAAGTTGGTGCTGTGGTTCAAGTGATAGAATGGTAGCCTTGAGCAAAAGAAGCTCAGAGACAGTGCCCAGGCCCTGAGTTCAAGTCCCAGGACAGGTGGTGGCGGGGTGGAGGAGAAGTCATAGCCAGGCCCTGGAAAGCCTATGAGATTCTTATCTCTGGGTAAACACCAAAAAGTTGGGAGCAGAGCTGTGGCTGAAGTGGTAGAGTGCTAGCCTTGAGCAAAAAGGCTCAGGGACAGCACCCAGATTCTGAGTTCAAGCCCCAAGACCAGCAGCAAAGAAAAGAAAATTAAAAGAAAAGAAAAGCCATTTCTAAGTCCTCACCAGTGCTGCGGAACTGCCGTTCCCCTGTCCCGAATTGTACACATTTTTAGTCCATCAGATACATGTGGGGACAGGCCAGCACAGGGAAGGCAGATCTAAGAAGATACATAGACCAGTTTTGCCTAGTGGTTGGGCCAAGAATGAGCTAGAATACTACCTTCCTCCAAAAGCTCACACAGAGCAGATCAAGCCATTCATCTCCACTTTCCACACCCTCACTCTTCCCCAAAAGGGACACCCAGGTGACTTCTAGAAGCATCTCAGCGTCCCTGAACCCTCGTCCAAGCCCCCTCAGCCTTATTAGTTGAGATGATCAGATACAAGCTTGGAACAGATCTTGATGCAGTCCTGCTGTCAATTGTAGGACTTGTTCTAAATGGGCCATCAGTCCTGCAGATTATGGAAAAGCCATCTGGGAGGCAGGCCAGAGTCCACCAGACTCTTGTTCAAGCAGGAGGCAGGGCAGAGAGAAGGGAAGAGTGAGAGAAGATGACCAAGATTATCCCAATGAACTCATTTGTTCACAATCACCAATGAGTTGGTGGCAAAGCTCAAAACTAAAATGATCTAAGGCTCATTCTCTCCCTTCCTTCCTTCCTTCCTTCCTTCCTTCCTTCCTCTCTCTCTCTTTCTCTCTCGCTCCCTCCCTCCCTCCCTTCTTCCTTCCTTCCTTCCTTCCTTTCTTTCTTTCTTTCTTTCTTTCTTTCTTCCTTTTTCAGTGCTGGGAATCAAACCCAGGGCTTTGCGCCTGTTTGGCAAGTGCTCTGCCACTAAGCTATATACCAAGTCCTAGGGCTCACTTTCTTTGGCAGTACTTAGATCAAACTCAGAGCCTCACACATGCTTAGGTGGCTGCGTGGCTGGTGCTTTACCACTTGAGTCATCTACTTCCAGTCCTAGTTTTGGCTGGTTAATGAGAGATGCAGTCTGAAGAACTTTTCTGCCCAGGCTTGCTTCAGAGTATGAGCTTCTAATTCTCAGCATCCTGAGTAACTAGGATTACCTGTGTGAGTCACTGGCACCCAATTTCTAATATTCTTCTACCTGAGAAGTTGTTCTTTTCCTTATTTATCCCTCCTTTCTCCCCTTCCTCCCTTTTCCCTTCCTTCCTTCCTTGCTTCCTTTCTTCCTTCCTTCCTTCCTTCTTTCCTTCTTTCCTTTCTTCCTTCTATTTCTTATCCCATTAGCCATGCTCTCAACATCTTCATTATGTACTGTGTGCTAGCTTCTAGAGCAGAAGCCTAAACAATCGAGTCTTTGCCCTGATAAAGTATGCAGAGTGAACTATTAATACACATAATCACACCACTGTACATAATAATCATGGCTACCTAATTATACATATGCAGGAATACTTGTAGCTGTCTGAGACTTCCCAATAGCCTCATTTTACAAAGCAGCAAACTAGAAAACTGAGACAGACAAAGGTTAAGTGATGTATAGCAGGTCAGTCATGTAGGCCATGCTGGCATGGAGAACGCAAACACTGCTAGTTTAGCCCTGAGATTTGCACCGGGCAGTATGTGATGTTGTCTATGCATAAAGTGTCAGGGGTCGAGATGGGTGCAATTTTCACCAATTCCTTTATGATAGCCCCTGGTTCCTGAGACAATTAAGGTTTCCACCTGAGAGCGGGGAATGGTAGCAAAGAAAAGGGTAACTGTTAGGCTCTAGGGATAAAAAGTGTTAGATAACCTGCTTCCCACCATAGAGCTTCTTGTTCCCAAACGGCCCCACGTTCCTGCTCAAAGGATTCTTCCCATAGTGCCCTGGGTTCCTGCTCAAATGCCTCTTTTTCCCATAATGCTCTGGGTTCCTACTCCAATACTGCTTCTTCCCATAATACCCAGGGTTCCCATTTAAACACTCCTTTTTCCCACAATTCCCTCAGCTTATGCCCAAATACTTCTTCCCATAATGCCCTGAGTTCCTGCTCAAATGTCTCTTTTTCTTAATGCTCTGGGTTCCCATTCAAATGCCTCTTCCCATAATTCCCTGGGTTCCTGCTCAAACACTTCTTCTCAGAATGCCCTGGGTTCAAACTCAACCAATGAGAAGAGCCAGGGGAGGGGCTTACACAGCCATCAAGCCATCAGCACAAAGCCCAGGGGAGGAGCGCTGGGAGGGACACTGGGCTGTAATGGCAGCCCTGGAGAGGACACCAGGGGACTTCTCTCTGGGGCCTTCTCCTGATGTGGAGTCTTGCTGCTTTTCTTCTTGGCTTTCATCTCACTTTCAAATACACTTACTCTGTTTCCAAGAGAAAGAAAAGGAAAGGGAAGGGAGGGGAGGGGAGGGGAGGGGAGGGAAGGGAAGGGAAGGGAGAAGAAAGAGAGGAGGGAGGGAGGGAGCAAAGAAAAGAAGAAAGCTTTAGAAATGATATCCTGATGATTTCTGCAGCGCATTCTATGTTCATGGTTGTCATCAGATGCAGCCCCTCACCCCCCCCCCAGCACAGACTGGAGACCACCCAGGAGGCTGAGCATGTCGGGTAGAGATGGAGCCTAGGCCCTGTGGAGACTCTTGGTTAGCAGTTATTTCCTTGGCTTCATGTGGCTGGTTTATGGGAGGTGCCTAACACTCACTCACCCCGCCAGAAATGCTGGTTGGGGTGAACTCATGAACACACACCCCCAAGAGCAAGCAAGTGGCAGTGGCAGGGGTGAAGCCGCACAGTGTCACGCCAGGGTCACTCATGGGCTTTTCCTGGTGGAGAGGTTTTGCAGGGGGCAAGTAGCAGGCAAGGGCCTTCTAGGTCCCCATTGACCAAGGGAGTGGAGCAGCGACCACATTCTGCCAGAGGGGTCTCCCTTTCCTGACGGCCGCCTTCCCACCCACCCAGGTACAGCGTTGTGCATGACCTCCTGGCCGATTTGGAAGGAGAGACCGAAGCTGCCTTGAAGTCTTTGTACGGCTTTGAAGAGGTGCATCATCGGAAGCGCCGGGAAGCGGGGGACTGGAGCTCAGCCTGGGCAGGCGGCCCACCCAAGTTCCTCAAGCACATCCCTTTGCTCATCTTCAACGAGAATGAGAAGGACAAGGCCAGGGACTTTGTCACCGGCCGCAAGCGGAAGATCAGTGGAAACATCATTCACAAGGCTTCCAACGTCATACACGTCCATGAGTCCAAGAAGGTGGTGGGGTTCCAGCTGGTAAGACTTCCTGCCTAGGTTGGGGGGGGCAAGGGATAGGCTGGAGACAGGGACCCCCAAATCTCTCCTCCTGGGCCATATCTTCTTGTAGACCACTGGGGAAAAAGGCACCTAGTGAAGAGTGATTTGATTGGAAGCAACTAAAATGAATGAAGGCTGGTTTTTTGTTTTTACTAGAACTGGGATTTGAACTCAGGACTCTCACACTTGCTATATTAGCACACCACTTGATCTACATCTCTAGCCCTTTTTGCTTTAGTTATTTTTCAGATAGCATCTTGCATTTCTTCACTGACCTCAGAAAGTGAACCTCCTACTCCAGAGTAGTCTGCGGTTACAGGCATAAGCCAACACACTTGGTCAACTGAGATGCTTTTAAGCATGACAAAATGTCTGGGGTGGTGATCTGTGGCCAAGAGGTTGGAGGGGAGGGGGACTCTCAAAGGACAGAAATTAGGGAAGATCTACTGATCTAGGTATGAGGAAATTATGAAGTCGTTTTAGTTACTGCTACGAGAGAAGCTATTTTCAGTCTTTTTGTTAATGCTTAAGATTCTGATTCTATTTCAGCACTCTCTGGTTCACCACACTGAGGAACTTCATCTCTTCTTTTACAGGGAGGGCAAAGTTTTCTTACCAGACAGTAGGCAAAGAAAGCAAAGCATAGTGGGGTGCAGACAACAGAAAGAGTAGACATATAACAAAAGTCCCAAAGTTTCCCCTATCTATCGATCTGTCTATCTAGTGCCAGTAGTGGGGCTTGAACTTACTCTCCCCTAGCTTTTTCTGCGCAAGTCTAACACACTCACATTTGAGCCACAGTGCCATTTTTGTATTTTTAGTGGTGAATTGGAGATAAGAGTCTCACAGACTTTCCTGCCTGGGCTGACTTTGAACTATAATCTTCAGATCTCAGCCTCCTGAGTAGCTTAGGGTAACATGACCCATCACTGCCCACTAGTGTTTGCCTTTTAGAGGTGCTGTGGCCTAACTTTTTTTTTTTGGGGGGTGAGTTCCAGTCGTGGGGCCTGAACTCTGGGCCTGGACACTGACCCTCAGCGCTTCAGCTCAAGGCTAGCGCTCTACCACTTGAGCCACAGCGCCACTTCCGGCTTTTTTCTTTTTGCTTATGTGGTGCTGAGGAATCGAACCCAGGGCCTCAGGCATGCAAGGCAAGCGCTCTACCACTGAGCCACCTTCCCAGCCCCTGGCCTAACTTCTCATCTCTTTATTTGGCCCTATTTGAGGGGCTCTTTTAGAAAGCAGACATAAGCCAAAAAATGAATTCTATTACTTTTTCTAGGCAGCCTCCATTTTCTTTGAACCTCTCCAAGCCCAGCCCCCTTGCAACATGAGGCTTACTTGAATACCTTTGCCTTGGATTGCTGATGCAGAGGCTTGTGGCTTTGGCCATAAATCCTACAATATGGTTCTTCATCAAAGTCACTTGAAGCATCTAATCTCCCTAGTTTCCTGGATGTTTCTGAGACTCCTCTTGATGGTAAAGTCTATGATTAGACATTGGTCCTCCCAGGAGAGATTTCCTGTCCTGGGTGATGAGATCTTGTGGAAAAGAAGTTTCAGTCCGTTCTGGCCAGAATCCAGATTTCCAGGTTGTTTCTGTAACCAGAAGTAGGAGCAACTCAACAGCCTTAGTCAGCCAAACCCCGGATGTCTGGAGACCCATGTGGAGGCCGGTTTTGCTTTGTGCTGTGGAGGTAGCAGCTGGTAGGCAGAAGTCCTAGGAGTGGGTCACCATGTCCTTCCTCGCACACCAAGGTGACTTCTCGCTCCAGGAGTAAAAGGAAACCCATCCCGGCCCCAGGGTTGATCGTAAGACTCTCGCAGCAAGCACCGATGTCTCCCCCTCCCAGTCCTTCACATTTGGTGGTGACAGGACCTCCGGCTCTAGCCTCGTGTCTCTTCTTATCCATAGTGTTCAAATGACACCTTTGACTGTGCCACCTATACCTTCAGCTCGGGCATCAATGCCATCCAAGAGTGGTACAAGCTCCACTACATGAACATCATGGCGCAGGTGCCTCTGGAGAAGAAAATCAACATGAGCTACTCCGCAGAGGAGCTGCTGGTCACCTGCTTCTTCGATGGCATGTCCTGTGATGGCAGGTCAGAAGGGGAGGGCTGCTCACCCAGCCTTTGCAAACTGCGGGCTGTGACCTCAGGCCCTTTGCACATACAAATGTGCCTTCCCACTGCCTCTGCGCTTGGGAAAACCATGCACATGGGAGCTAGCTCCTTCAATCAGTGAGTGACCTGGTAGCTTTGAATGCATTCAGCTAGACATCACAGTGTGTGTGTGTGTGTGTGTGTGTGTGTGTGTGTGTGTGTGTTCAAGCCCCAACTCAGGGCCCAAGTGCTGTCCGTTAGCTTTTCTTTTCTTTCTTTTTTTAAATTTAACTCAAAGCTGGAACTCTACCACTTGAGCCACACCTCTACTTCTAGCTTTTTAGTGGCTCTTCGGAGATAAATTTTCACAGAATTTCCTGCCCTGGCTGACCTTGAATCTCGATCCTCGGATCTCAGCCTCCAGAATAGCTAGGATTAGTGCCCAGTTTGCAGAGGGCTTTGTATAGAACTGAGTTGCAAACTCAGGTACAGAGAAGGGAAGGAGGAGAAGGAAGGAAAGAGGGAGGGAAGAAGAGCCTAGGTTCACAGCCCTGAGCCCTCATACTCTTCAGACTTTGAGTGACACTCAGATCCCGGAGCCTTGCTGGGCAGTGGGAGGGATGTATCTGAAGTGCTTACCCCATTGTTTATTTTTTTCTTTTGTGCTGCTACCAAGGTTTGAACTCAGGGCCTCACATTTTCTACTGCTTTTTCTGCTCTACCACTTGAGCCATGTCTCTAGTTTGACATTTTTCTGGGTAACTACAGATAAAGTCTCCTGGACTTTGCTACTTGGGCTGGCTTTAAACCATGACTATCAAGGTCTCAGCCTCCTGAGTAGCTAGGATGACAGGCGTGAGCCACCAGCACCCAGCTTTTTGTTCTTTTCAAATTCTAAACCTTCCTCATTTTTCTATATTAGTAGACATATTGTCCCTTGTATAAGTAAAGTACTTGGCATGATGCCCCCCTGTGGGTTGAGTTGTAAAGGCTCCTTCTTGGGGGCTCATTTCAGAGGCCTGGCCATTGAAAAAAATGTTACTGTTCGACAGGCACCCGTGGCTCATGCCTGTAATCCTAACTACTCAGGAGGCTGAGAGCTGAGGATCACGGTTTGAAGCCAGCCTGGGCAGGAGACTCCATAAGACTCATATCTCCAATTAATCACCAAAAAAAGCTGGAAGTGGAGCTGTGGTTTAAAAACAAACAAACTCAAGGAAAGTGCCAAGGCCCTGAGTTCAAGCCCCAGAACCGGTACCGAAGAATAAAAGTTACTGTTCAAGTGTTTGGGGCTGATCTGTGGCCTAAGGAACACTAAGTGGGAATAGATCGCATGGAGAGGGGAGAAAGTGAATCCCAGGACTGGCATCTGCCCAGTGAAGGGGCTGGGTTGTCATCTCCTCCAGAGCAGATGGGAAAGTGAGTCATGCTGGCATCCACCGACCCCAGAGAGAGCCAGTGTGGTGCCCACCCCGACTCCAGACTGCAGCGCAGCCCCAGCGCCCATGCCCAGCCGGCCTCTCACACCGCCTCTTCCTCCACAGGAACTTCACGCTCTTCCATCACCCCATGTACGGGAACTGCTACACCTTCAACAACAGAGAGAACACCACCACCCTCAGCACCTCCATGGGCGGCGGTGAGCATGGTAAGGGGCAGCCTGGGGACCCCAAAGGCCCCCGGAGTCAGCAGAATGATGGGTACCCCAAGCTATCCTTTCTGTCTTTTTCTCTTTCTTTCTTTCTTCTTTCCTTCCTTTCTTTCTTTCTTCCTTCTTTCCTTCCTCCCTCCTTTCCCTCCTCCCTTCTTCCCTCCCTCCTTCCCTCCTTCTCTCTTCTTCCTTTCTTTCTTCTTTCTTCCTTCCTTCCTTCCTTTTTCTTTCTTTCTTCCTGTCTGTCTCTTTCTTCCTTTCTTCCTTCTTTCCTTCCTCCCTCCCTTCCCTCCCTCCTTTCTTCCCTCCCTCTCTCTCCTTCCTTCCTTCCTTTCTTTCTTTCTCTCTCTCTTTTCTTTCTTTCTCTCTCTCTCTCTCTTTCTTTCTTTCTCCTTCCTTCCTTCTTTCCTTTTTTATTGATCATGGGGCTTGAACTCAGGGCCTGGGCACTGTCCTTGAGCTCTTTCATTCAACATGAAAGAGCTCATTCTACCACTTTTTTTGGAGGGGGGTTCAGTTGTGGGGCCTGAACTCTGGGCCTGGGCGCTGTCCCTCAGCTCTTCAGCTCAAGGCGAGTGCTCTACCACTTGAGCCACAGCGCCA